TATTCTAAAAATAAAGAGTTTAATACTGAATTGAGAAAGGCGTAATTGATTAAACTCTTTTAATCTAAAAATGTTAAAATTTTCAAAGTTCTACAATATGATGCTATTGTATTGAGATTAATCTGCGGACAAGATACCTTAATCAAGCGTGCAATGTTCATGACAGATAAAAGTTATCCTTTTCAGCTGATTTTTGATAGATTTCAGTCAGAATCACCAGGCTTTCTAGACAAACAAATAATATATTTTGGAATCAGCATAAAAAACAAAGTCAGTCTATATATATATTACAGAATCCTTCGAAAAATTCACTCCTAGTCCATCGCAAGGTTACTTTAACAAGTATAATCAGTCAAAAATTTGGTTTGAATGTGAGAATCAACTTCTAAATTGTGAGAAATTTAGGAAAATCGAAAACGATAAAATGAATAAGTCATAAAAATAATGTTTCGCATGACTTTCAATTTGGATGCAACTCGACCGAGAATGATAGTTGAAGTTTTGAACGAAAAGAAAAGTTATCGAAGAATTTTGTGACATAAACCGAGTTATTTTTTTATGCTGATTCCAAAATATGTCATGTGTTTTGATAGAAAGCCTCATCATTCTGATTAAAATCCGTCAAAAAACAATCCAAAAGGACAAATTTTTGTTTTAATGAATATAATGCCCTTGACAGTTGTGTCTTGTTCACAAATTAAACTGAACGCAATACTAACATTTTGTAGAGCTTGAAAAAGTATTTCGAATGATATATAATTTAAGCTAGATCGATCTTTTTACAACTCAATAGGAAAAGAGCTGAGCTCTGGTTCTCTTCATACTGTAGATACGATGGAATGTCGACATCTAATGACAAAAAAAGAAAAGAACATTATTTCGTTATACTCCTATACAATAAGCGAAGAAAAAAAGAGCTTTCATTTGATATATAAATTTAATTAAAAGAGTTGAAGAAGAACATCAAACTTCCCCATATAAATACTACATTGCATAACATAATGAACAAAAGATCATGTCGAGTTTTGAGTCAGTCGCATATAATCAGAATGAAATCTAACGGTTTAAATTGAACAATAATCGACTTCTGTCATTTGAATTAACTATCAACAGAAATAAGAAACGCAATTTCAAGATGGGATCGATTTCATTGTTTTAACTTTAACAAAACTTTTCATCAGCTAACTATTATTTTGTACTTATGGCTCCGTAAGGAATCAAATTTATCTTGTTTTACTTTTTTTGTTTTCATAGATATAAAAGAGCTTATGAGAAGATACTCTATCATTATTAGAGTTGTAGGGCTTAGTGTTTCTTTCAATTTTTTCGCATATCTTAGACTGCTTAGTACCTTTATGAATAAAATAAATTGAAGGAATCCAACATACTAATATCATAGAAGTTTGAAGAAAAGAAAATTAAAAATATCAAAAATATCAAACTTGGAAGTTGAATTCAATTATGAAATTATTGTTCATGTATACAATTATTCGATTAATGAATATTTGTTGTCTGCATGTTGAATTTTCTTTTGCACTCTTAATAATAAATGCTAAGTGTGTGTTGTCTTGAAATAGTTGAAGTCAACAATTAAATAACCGAAAATTCTGCTTTCGACTTTTCAAATTTAAACTATTCAATAATGTGAATAATTAAATCATCACTAATTCAGTATGGTGACAGTCAAAAAAAAAATATTTGATTTGTTACGGAATAGTCTTTTCACGACAAACTTTACCATTATCAACGATATACAATATGAAAATTTTAGAGGGTATAAGTCTAGCTAAGGTGTACCTATATTCACAATCATATCCTCAGAAAGTTTATGAAATATTGTAATTCATTTGCGAGAATATATTTATGAAATTTTCGAAATAAAAATCTCACTAGAACAGTCATTACAACAAAAATTATAGTCCGTAGCTGCGGTTTACTTGATTATTCAAAACGAAGAATACTATTCGCTAAAATAATACAGTTATCAAAAGAAAAAAAAACTTAATACTACAACTGTCAAACTCAGTTATTATAACTAGTCTTCGTCTTAATAAAATGATCAGAGAATATTTGAGGTAATTATTTACGTGTAACTTTGTTTTTGCTTTCCAAAAAGAAACGCTCAATAATATGAACATAAAACACAATTTTATACCATTTTCATAACACATACCATTACTCACTCTTGTTCTTTATCTTTTTATTTCGTATGATTATGGCATTGCGATAAAAAAAACGATTCAATCATCCATCAATAGATGCATTGAAAACGAGAAAATACGTATTCATACGGGTAAGAAAAGGTAATATATAGGTTAGTTCTTATTTAAACACTTAAGAAAAAAAAACAGGCGAAATAACCAATGTTCGAGGCGTACAACTCTTTCATGAAGTTTTGCGCATCTATTGAGACTTATTATTTGTTAACTATTTGAATAAAAAAAAAAATTGGCTACATAAAGAAAAGAACACTGATTACTACTTTGCTCGAGAAGTCTTGTTAATCGAGGCTTTTGTAAGTGTATCTGTGGATCAATTAATAAGAAATATTGTACAAAGAATGTCTTCTGTATGACAAATTTTAAATTGTCGATAAGTTTATTCAATGCAAACTTACGTCGTCATGTCTATAATTCAAGCAGCAACATATTTGAAAGCAAATAAGCTAAGTTCGCTGCAATCTCTACAGCCACTATTAGTTGTTATGTTACAGTTATTCATAAAGAATCCTTTGAATTGATGTTGCCACCAACTGGCATATTGCGTGGTACAGTCGAAGTCAAATCCACGTGTGACAATTCTTTCGTACTAAACATCCATTGGGAGATCATTGAAGTCATCGAACCATGATTATGGCTACCAAGAGAAAGATGGTAAAGAACTGAAGTTGTATGATTTAGGTTGATGAATGCAATACAACTGGCTGCTATTATTTCGGTATTTTATATCAAGTGAAAGTCCTTTTCATATATTTTACATCATCGGTTGATTTCATCATCAAACAAAGTTTAGGTACTTATGATATATTGAAAAAGAAATATATGAAAAGCATGATCTGTTAACATACGCACAGATCTTTATAAAATATGACTTGATACATTGATAATAAGAAGCAATCACCAATAATTTTGATGTCTGTATGCATTTCAGAGTAATTTGATCGCATCACAATATTTACTCATGTATCATTTGATTCACATACGACTATCACAGCTAAGACAAGTATAATTATAGAAAGTATACGTAAAGTACTAGTAATAAAAGAGAAGCGCTTAGCACTTACTTTGCTCCATCAAAGTTTATAGTTTTGTTCTAGTAAAATATAAAATTACTACATGGCATTTGAAAATGAATACTTGTATTTTCAAATAAATTAACTGTGCATAAATGTTTACTCGAAATATATGAAACATATGAGTACATGTTTTGTCGTCCTAGTTGTGATTGCAACATATTAAGAACTTAAAGTGAAAATTGAGATTATCATTTTGAGTCTTATAAAGAAGCATGCTAGTCAAGCATTAAACAAAAGGAAATCATTCCAAAGACAAAAACCACAATAGTCTTTCTATTATCTACTCTGACAGATCTGAAATAAATGTTATCTTCCCATAATACTAAAAAATACTGTAAAAGAATGGGAATAAACACAAGAAACATTGGAATGGACGTCTCAATTTAGTTAATTGCAGTAATTGTAAAAGAAAGATCCTTTTCATTGTGCAGATTTTAAAATGATTTCAACATAAATCAACATCGTAACTGATATGACATAATATTCATATGACGAATACCGTGATCCACGAGTAGATTTATTTTCTTGTCGAGTCAAATAAGATTGATACAATGATCAAATTTCTCTTTGATGTTTTACTGCAAGAAAAACTAATCGGTGTAATAATATAAGACTTCACCATGTCACATGAAATACTCATCAATTTTACACAGTTGTTTTCTTATGCTCTTTTTGAAAGTCAGCTAACGAACTTTTGATATTCGCCAGTGTTTTTTCTCTTGGCATCTATCAATGAACGGAAAATTTCAGAGAACTAAAAATTCTATATTACTTTTTGTACACTCACTCAATGTTCATCAGACATAGAAATTATTGATTAACTGTATATTCAATCTGCTTCCCACTTTATGTTCTTTTTGTTATGTCTTATGTCTATAGTAAGTAAATACTAGCAATAGTAGAAAATACAGATAAGTTTATAGTTATATTGTTATGATGACAATGTAGTAATAAATTCGATTAATTGAAAATTTGTATTGGTTATTTCTCTGAAATCAAATTCTCAGATTTAGTTTGACATTTAAGTCATTGAACTCAGTTGTTGGTTACAATGTTCACATAAACAATACTCCATACTAATTTATGAAATTTCAAATTATGTAGAATTTATACTTGTCAATGTAAGTTAAAATGATTTGGTTCGAGTCAACTTGTTTTAATACAAATTTTTACTTGTGTTCTGAAGAAAAATTCATAAAACAATAATGTTTTGTTTCTAACACTATTTATAACCGTTAAAATATTGATAATAATGCAAAAGTATCATATAGTATATCTTTTACTGCTTTAAGCGATGAAGATCGAGCTTTTTTCTATCACTCTTTAATAGGACTTATATATTATGCTAATTTGAGCTTTCGGACAGCTGAAAGTATTTACAACTTTATCATTGTCAATGTTACATTATATGTTGAAGAAAGCATTTTTCAGCAATTATTCATTGATGAAGATGAAAAGTCGTATCAGCATAGGCGAACAAGAATAACAACATGCAATAACCTATTTAATATTATCAATTATTGTGTTCACTCTAAGAGATTTTCATTTTTCTGCTATTATGTCACAGAATATAATTGTTATTTTTATATGCTCGAATCTCTCCATCGATCAGAAAACATGGTGGATAGTAATATTTACTTCTTTCACATATCGATGGATACACTTTATCATGGATCGTTGGACTATTAGAAAGATAAACTGTCCATCATCCAAATGTTCCACCAGTTATGGTTGAATGTTCACAAAGTGAAAGTGTTACTAAATCATCACCAATGGAAACTAATTCTGGTGTAAGAAAAACAATTGATCGATTACGAAACAAACTTTTACAATAAGACTTATCATCGCTTGCAACGATAAAATGAACATTGAAATAATGTAAAATGTAATATTCTATAGCAGCAAATAAAAATTTATTGGTTGAATAGAAATTTATGGGAGCAAAATTAGTTTGATGACTCGCTTGTATTCAATCAACGCCTATAATTTGTCGTTCATCCAATAATAGCATGACCCTTTGACTTTTTTTAAGGTTTGTAAAACAATTTTGAATGAGATGACATGCATTGGAAAAAAAGTTGATTTCTAGTTGTTTGCTTTGTATTTGTTGGCATAGGCAACACAGTTGAATAAATATTATTGCATAAAGGAAACGTACATTACGATATAATGATAGAGAAATGAACAAGTACAAGAGAGATACACCGATCTTCTGAACTACTTAAGATAAAGAAACAAAACGATCTTATTTCAACTCAGTCAGTGTGATCTTCTTATGCTAGTTATATTGGAGCAGATTTTTTCGACTCAATGATATCTTATAAAATGAGAAACACTTAATTTCAGCTTGCCTCCTTCTGAGAAAGATAATTGTCTCACTGGGATAGTCAAAAATGTTTCTAAATACTTTCTAATGTTGAAGGCATTCACGCCAAGAACTATTAATTGAAGTTATACTTTGTAAAAAAAAGCAGAATCAACCAAAACTTCTTAGAATTGAGTTTAAAGTTTTTAAGATCTGATTACGCTTATGCAATTGATACAGTTTATCGAAGCGAAAATGCTTTGTCGGGTGATCAAAATGTACAAAGGCAGTCACTCTCATGACGATTGTTTGGAAAAGAAGCTCTTTAAATGTAAAAAAACACGGTTGACCCTGCTTTGGTCGAAAGATAAAAATGTAGAAAACGAAAATGCGGAATTTTAATGTGGATGTAAGAGTTAGAATGAGGTCGAAAGAACTTCTTCTCCCATACACTATCATTTTCAACATTTGTACCTTTCAACATTTCTATTATTTTTGTTTTCGATATTTTTATTTTCGACATATTTACTTTCGATCAAAGTAGGGTGCATTGAAAAAACCATGACAAGTTTCTGACATGATCTATCAGAATTCTTAGACCGATTATAATTGTACAGTCGATAGTTTTTTGCGAAGCACCAAGATTTTGATTTCACTTTATATCTTGTTTGATAAGAGCTTATTTAATTCAGACATTTGGGAAAAATTGAGCTAACTTTCATTTCATATTTGTTTTCAGATCATTCAACTGATAAAAATAGCGAAAGTTTCAAATTATTGAGGGGTGTCACCTCCTCAACATCCCCTTCATCAAACCATAATTGCATTCATTCAATAGACTAAAAACGACAGACACTTAAAAATCATAGAGAATGTTTTTTTTTTCATTAAAACACATCATTCTTTTTTCTTCTTCGTTGTCTACTATAAATATAAAGTTAATTACTACTGTCAAATATGTTACGCGTGTTATCTATATATATATCTATATATATAATGTTCAGTGTCTGTCTGTCTGTCTGTCTATCTATTTCTCTGTGCCGGATCAAACGTTAAAGGTCACATGACGCTAAAGGGGAAGATCTCCAGGGACTATTAAATGGGTACTTATAGGTCCCCAAGGATTATCTTATGGGGGTACCCATAGGTTCTCAAGGGCTATCCTATGGGGGTACCCATAGGGTGTGGCTGGGTGTGGATGTGGGTGGGTGAAGGGAACATCCACACCCACACCCACACCCACACGCAACAAAAAACAATTTTAATTAAGTTATTTCTGTAACCAATACTTTGTTGCTCGATTGATTATCCAATTAGGAACTAAACGATTCCGAGCAGTAAAAGCATCATATTTAAATACATAAAGTAGTATCATTATTTATTGTATTTTTTTGACAAAACTTGTCTATTTATTTTTCGATCACAAAGTGTAATTATCATTTTTATGTGCTCGAACATTGCCATCTATCAAATACCATGGTGGATAATAATACTCAGGTCTTTGACATCCAGATGGATATACTTTATCATGGATCACTTTACCATTAGCAAGATAACCTGTCCACCAGCCAAATGTTCCACCTGTTATGATTGAATGTTCACAAAGTGAAAGTGCTATTAAATCATCACCCATAGAAAATGACTCTGGTGTAAGAAAAATATTCGATCGATTACGAAATAAATTTTTACAATAAGGTTTATCATCACTTGCAAC